AAGACCTCTGTGATGGAGTGGGTGACAAATTCTGGGGAAGGAAACCAAAACAATTGTTTTGAAGTTCATTTCAGAACACACCAGTTGACCAGGGAAATGACAGAAAGAGAAGCCAAGTGTGGATACATAGACTATAGTGGTGTCCTTGGGTTCCTACAGCTCATCACGTTTTCCTTCTGGAAGTATGCGAAGGGAGGGCTTTCTGTCATTTTCCATCTTTCTCTTTCTAAAAAAAAAAAAAAAAATTAAAATATATATATTATTATTATTATTAGTTTTTACAGAGAGAAAGGGAGAGAGAGTTAGAAACATCAATGAGAGAGAAACATCGATCAGCTGCCTCCTGCACACCTTCCACTGGGGATGTGCCCACAACTAATGTACATGCCCTTGACCGGAATTGAACCTGGGACCCTTCAGTTCATAGGCTGATGCTTTATCCACTGAGCCAAACTAGTTTCAGCTCCATCTTTCTCTTTAGGTAGTTCGTTCTCTCTCTCTCTCTCTCTCTCTCTCTCTCTCTCTCTCTCTCTCTCTGTCTCTCTCTCTCTCTTCCCTCCCACCCCTTTAGAATTGGGAGAGGGGCGGAAAGGAGGAAGATAAAGGGTGAAATTCCACATGGTGTATAAAAGTAGGAAGTGGAATCCTTTAACCCCACCTAATTCTTGTTTTTTACATCCTGATTTTAGGATTTATTTTATTTTATTTTATTTTATTGATTTTGTACAGAGAGGAAGGGAGAGAGATAGAGAGTTAGAAACATCGATGAGAGAGAGTCATCGATCAGCTGCCTCTTGCACACCCCCTACTGGGGATATGCCCGCAACCAAGGTACATGCCCTTGACCGGAATCGAACCCGGGCCCTTCAGTCCCCAAGCCGACGCTTTATCCACTGAGCCAAATCGGTCTCGGCAGGATTTTTTTTTTTTTTTTTTTACAATAAATTGGAACTTTTGACTAAGGCTAAAAATAGAATACATGGTTGAGCATGAAGAAGTGACCCAGCTTCTCCTTCTCCTTTTCATTTTGCTTCAGTTTGAATGAGAAGGGGATAGTTCACACAATGAACAAGAACAGCAACTGTCTGTGTGTCTGTGAGCTTTGAGCCAATTATGATATTTTTGTGGGAAAGTTTCCAATTCGTAAGTCTCAGTTATGTAGAGGTGGGAGGCAGCTGGTGTGAATGCCTGTCTGCAGGCTACATGCACAATTACTCTGATCCAATATGGCATGGCATGACAGCAATGTGCTTATTCAAGAAAATAATTATCTCAGTTTTCTTAACCTAAGCTTTTTCATCCTTATCACTTTAAAAAAAGACAAGTAAAACAAGAAAAAGGCCAAAGCCAAATATTCAAAAGATTTTAAGATCGCTCAGCTACCTCTAGTGAGGGATAGCAGTAATGAAATTAAGCTAAGTCTGAACTCATCTTTCTCCACAGTTCCTATTCATACTGTCCCTCCCCTCCACCAAGTCTCCATTTAATTAACAACCATCATTTTCTTCAGTTTTCAAAATTTCCTGACTTCACTCTCTCCTTCATCTTTCATATTCAAGTGGCCACCAAATTCTGCTGCATCTACCTTCAAAGCATTGCCCATTTATTTATTGATGTATTTATTTATTTTTATTTATTTATTTTTAAAAAAATATATTTTATTGATTTTATACAGAGAGGAAGGGAGAGAGATAGAGAGTTAGAAACATCGATGAGAGAGTCATCGATCAGCTGCCTCTTGCACACCCCCTACCGGGGATATGCCCGCAACCAAGGTGTTAGGTCTAGTAATAATTAATGTCGTTTTCTAATACTTTTTAAAATCGAATTTATTTAAACACTACAACAAAATTTATTTAAACAATACAACAATATAGTTGCCGTTGTTTTCTACTACTTGTGCCCAACGCTCAGGAAGCATTTTAATCCCTCTGTTGTAAAATTCTTGTGATTTTGATGCAAAAAATTCGGTCAATGCATTTTTGAGGCATTCTTCATTATTAAATTTTTTTCCAAGAAGAAAGTTTTGCAAAGAACGAAACAAATGGTAATCGTAAGGGGCAATATTAGGAGAATATGCAGGTTGAGGGAGAACTTCCCATTCCAACTGGCGCAGTTTTTCAGCAGTGATTCTTGCAGTATGCGGTCGTGCGTTATCGTGGTGAAGAATTACGCCCTTCCGATTAATCAGCGCGGGTTCTTTTTCTCTTAAAGCTTGGGCTAACCTTTCCAATTGGGCACTATACACTGCACTTGTAATGGTTTGGTTAGATGGTAAAAGTTCATAATGAAGAATTCCTTTAAAATTCCACCAAACACACAACATCACTTTTTTCGCATGCAAGTCAGGTTTTGGCATGGGCTGCGGAGCCTCATTTTTGTCCAACCATTGAGGCCGCCTTTTCAAATTAACATACAGCACCCATTCTTCATCTCCGGTAACAATTTGCTCTAAAAACGGCAAACGGTTTTGACGAGAGAGGAGCGAACTGCAAATTGTGACTCTTTGATTACGGTTGTTGTCGGTCAACTCATGAGGAACCCATTTTCCAAACTTTTGGACTTTGCCAAGTGCACGCAATTGATTGGAAATTGTTTTTTGTGAACAATTTAAAGTTGTCGCAAGCTCTTGTTGGGTAATTTGAGGATTTTGCACCAAAAGAGCTTAAAGAGCTTCTTGATCAAAATTGGACACACGGCCTCGACCACTCTTGTCATCTAACGAAAAATTTCTCTCGCGGAATTTCTCAAACCAACGCTGGCATTTTCTGGCGCTAACTGCATCTTGACCAAGAGCACTACAGATGTTTTTTGCAGCCTTACTTGCTTTTCTTCCTAATTGGAACTCGTAAAGCATGCAGTGCCGAATATGCTCTTCATCTGCCATCTTCTTAGCCCTAGTTTTGCAACAAAAACCAAGCCAAACACAAACTTTTTCAAGCAAAACTTGTTAATTGCACTTCACACGTTCTGTAGATACCACGTGTTTGAAGGTTATGTCAATACAAGTCAACGCCAAGCAAGATTTTAAACGAATGTTTAAAAACAACATTAATTATTACTAGACCCGATACATACCCTTGACCGAAATCGAACCCGGGACCCTTCAATCCCCAAGCCGACGCTCTATCCATTGGGCCAAACCGGTCCCAGCTATTTGATGTATTTATTGATGTATTTAGTGATACCTACTGTGTACCATGTGTGCTCTCATTGTATCCTACGTACCAAGGATACAATGGCAACTGAGACAGACAGTTTCTGCCATCACCAAACTCATATTCTAATGGGAGCCCAGAGACAGGTAAATAGGCAATTTCAATACCATGTATGCAAGCTTGTGGGGAAGGTATAGGGTGCACATAGGGACAAATCTAGCTTTGGGATTTCAGAGAAGACGTCCTAGAGAATCAATGACTTAGCTGAGGTTTAAAGGCTTCTAAACCTTAAGATTTAGAAAAATGTAGCCAGAAGAAGAATGCTGCAAGCATTCCCCATTAAACAAAATTTCATTGGACACTTATTGTGGGGTCAGGCTTTACTCTAGGTTCCACAGTTGGTTAGATGAATAGATATCACCCTGGCTCTCCTACTGCTTAGAGGATGTCAGGGGGCGGGAGGGAATAGACTTGAAAATATAGGCACAAAATATCCAACCAGCAATTGCTCCTGAGTATCCAGCACTCCTCCCTGCAGCTCCAGGCTCTGCCTTGGACTGCGCTGCATGCCTAGAGTTCCCTATCAGAATGCCCAGAGTTTCCTGCTTAGCTGAGCATGGGTATTCTTCCCTGTACTCCCTGCCTGTCTCTATATGCTTTGGAATGCAGTCGCCGAGAGCCTTTACTGAAAAGCTGGGTTAATTAAAAATCCCACTATAGGTGGGGAAAACTGCAAACTGTCAGCTAGCATAGTTTTTCCTCCACGGTTCATGGGGAAAGAAATCTAAGGTACACATTCAACAAATATATGCTAGCTGTTTCATGAGGTGCTCAAGACAGGAAAAAAATCTCCTACACCATGGAGCTTTCATTTGAGCGAGGAGATAGACAATAAGTAAACATATAAAGTGACAGAATAATTAGAGATGGACGAGGGAAATAAAGAAGGTGATACTTCTGATAGCTCTTCTCAGAAGGCTCCTCAGTGATATCACCCTGAAGGAAGTGACATGTTGGAGTTGGGACCCTGGGGGTGGGAAGGAACTGATATGCAAAAAGCTAGAAAAGAGTTGCAGAAAAAGACCATATGCAAGTCTTCCCAAGGGTCTCCTGCCCTTAGGTCATTGCCTCTCATCACAGGTGTCACCTTCTAATCTCTGCTTGCTCACAACGTGGCCACCTATCTCTCAGGACAACTCAGTCCTATCCGCTTATTGGGTATCCCCCAAGCAGGGCCTGCTTCTAGGTCACAGGCAACATTTAGTTCCATCCTTGGATGTTGAGTCCTATGTGAATGACTATCACCGCTAGTCTGTGATGGCTTTCAGGGACCCTGCAGGCAGTAAGTTCACTGCCATTGTCTAGAAATTCAACCCTATTTCTGCAAGTATTGAATCTAAGGCTGCTCCCGAATGGCAACAACGCTTTTTAGTGGATGATTAATCCCAAATCTGAAATCCTTTGTGTTCCTTTCCTGTTCTACCCACCCGCCTATTTTTCCCAACCATGGGTGTGTGCTCAGCTTCCATCACATGAAAGCCAGAAGGCCACCCAATCCCTCCAGATGCCAGCAGGCTGGAGATGCGGGCCTTTTCAGGAAGGGCGGCGGCTCCCCGGGTTCCCCGGGAGCTGCAGGGGGGCCAGGGCGGAGAGCGCCAGGATGACGTCACTCGAAGGTGGCCGACTCCGCGCGGGGGGCGTGATGTCACGCGGGCGGCGGGCCGGGCCGCCGTGAGGTCACCTGCTGGGCGCGGCCGGGCCCAGTCCCCGGTGACGTCACGGGCGGGGCGGGGCCAGAGCGTGTCAGCGGAGCCGAATCAAAACAAGCCGGAGACCCGCCTTTTCCCTCCGGCCCCCGAGCGCGTCCCGCTCCTCGCGCCCCGAACCCGCGGCTGCGAGCCCCGGGGCGGCGCGCCGGCTGCGGGAAGCCGGGCAGGGCGCGGCGGCGGCGGGATGGCGGGTTAGACGGGTGCCGGCCCGCGCCCTCCATTCTCTCCGCCCCGGAGCCGTCCGCGCTCCGGGTCCCGAGCGCCCGCGCCGCGAGGGGAGCCGCCTTCGCCGGCCCCGGGCACCCCCCGGACGCCTCCCTTCCCCCCCACCCCCCGAGATGCCCAACCCCAAAAACAGTAAAGGCGGACGCAAAAACAGACGCGCCAACAGCAGCGGCGACGAGCAGGAAAATGGAGCCGGAGCCCTGGCGGCGGCGGGCGCGGCGGGCGCGGCGGCGGCCGGGGGGGCCCTGGCGGCGGCGGCGGGCTGCGGGGCGGCAGCGGCGGGCGCGCCGGGCACCGGGGGAGCGGCGGGCACCGGGGGCGCGGGGACCGGCGCCGCCAACAACGCCGCTGCCAACGCCGCCGCCGCCGGCAACAACGCCGCCGCGGGAGCTGCCGCCGCGGGCGACGGTAAGAACGGTAAGAAGACGGGGCGACCGGGCGGGCGCCCACTTCCTCCCCGACGGGCACGGCGCGGGGGGCGCGGGCGGCGCGCGGACAATGCGAGCCAGGAAGGGCGCACCCCGCCCTCCGCCCCGCCGCGGCGGCCCCGGCCCGGACCCCTGCGCCTGGCGGCCGGCCGCGGCGGCGGATCCGCGGCCCCGGCAGCCCGCGCCCCGGACAACGCGGGGCGCCCGGGTGCCCGCCCGCGGCCGCGCTGCCCTCGGGCCCCGCGCCGTGGTGCCCGCGCGGGCCAAGCCTGGTGTGTGCGCCCCGGGCCGGAGGGGGAGAGGGAAGGGGGGAAGAGCCGCCCAAGTTGAGAAGAATGATCCGATTGAAAACTTGGGCACCGGTTCATCCTCCCCTCTGCCCGAGCGAAGAGCCCTCCGTCCCAGCAAGTCCGGGCTGGCTGTGCCCGTGGCCACAGGTGGAGCGGCCGCAGAGACATTTGTGCGGTGTTGGGCGTATGCGTGTGTGTGTGTGTGTGTGTGTGTGTGTGCGTGTGCGCGCGCGCGCTCTTTAATCCTGCAGCTCGCTTGAGGAAGGAAGAGAATCTGAACTTGACTTCCGTTGTTCTCAGCCCGGACTTTAAAAAAATAAAAAAAATCCACTATGCATTGAATTTAGAAGGAAGCTTGCTGCTCTTAGGGGAGTGCCTAAGAGCGCAGCTTTGGAGGGGCACCTACGGAACAGTGGAGATGTGGCAGGACTGCTGATGTCCCTGCACAGACCAGGCTTTGCCCGAGGCTGCAAGCGAGCACTTCGCTCACCTGGACAGTTCCGTTGAATGCCCGTGGTCAGCCAGATTTTCGGGGAAGGGAATATAGGTAGCCTGGAATGGGAGAAGATTTAAGATCTTTAATTCTAGCTTTTGACTTGCAGCTTTCAGGTTTTTTTTTTTTTTTTTTTTTTTTTAATAAATCCATTCTTGATGTACATCAGTCACTCTTTTAAATCGGGGCACCTGCACTTAGAAGAAACCCACAGCGACGTGTTGCGGGTTAGAAACAGAACGGTAGGCCTCTATGGGCTGTGTCTCTGCAGTATGGACATAGGAAGTTTCCCAAATTTAATTCGCCTATGTGAGTGTTTATAGATAGGACAGCATGTGGCCAGACTGTCTTCTCCGTGTCCTGTTGTTTTCCTGGCTCTAAACTTCATTTTGGTTTTGATGTGACAGAGGGGGAGGGAGACAGACTCCTCCTGGCTCAGCCACTTAGAACTTCGTCATCTTGGGGAAGGTCAGTCTTTCTGAACCTCAATTTCCTTGCCTGTAACATTAGAAAAAAAAGAAGTATACTGATTATTGTCCCCCTCAGAGGCTTCTTGTGAGGCTCAAAGTGTCCTTTCTCCACCCCACCCCTAGTTCTTGTCGTTTTAAAGGCTTGCTACTTTGGTAAGAGCTTTAGTAAAGTTCCTCAAGAAAAGTAAGTGATAAACAATGATCTCGCAGCCATTCATTCATTCATTCAGAAAATACTACGCCCTTGAGTGACAAGTACCAAGTTAAGTGTTGAAGGAGATAGTGGTAATCAAGAGAGAGGGCCTCCTGGTTAACCCCTCCCTCATGGAGTTTGCATTCCTATTCTGGGGGTGGTTGTGGCTTGCCTTTTTGCAAGCTTCAAATTAGCTATTTTCTTTTCTTCTTTGTCCAAAAGGTTTAGACCACTTTGTGGTGGTGTGAGGGAATTTTCTTCTTAGGCTGGTGGTATCTCCTCATTTGAAAACAACCTGGTTGTGATGTCCCTATTCACTCTCCTCTGAAATGGCAGAAGCAGGTATATTCAGCAGTTCTGTACCTATTTATGCAAAGTTACATATTTCTGATTTGGAACTTGTTTTTATTAATTGAGTAGGGGGAAAAACAGTGCCACACTCAGGGTTCGAGAAACTACAAACTTAAGTTGTGTTAGAACTGAAGCTGGATTTTATGACCCCAGATTCTTGGTGCTGACACGGTGTGAGATCTCAGTGAGTGATCCACTTTCATTCGGAGAACTCTTACTGATAATAACTGAACTTGGATGCTGAGACCTGTGTGCAAAATGGATAAATGAGGAAATTGCAGATGCTTTTCATTTTGCCATTTAAAGCTGTGCATTACAACGTAGGGGTGGGAGAAGTAGCATTGGTGAATTTTTAAAGGAAGGGGCAAAGAGGTATGTGCCAACTCTCAAAATCAATTGTAAAGGCCCAATTATTTTGATTTTTAAGATGATATTAATGGGGCTATTTTAAAAAGGATAATTTTTATTGATTTCAGAGAGGAAGGAAGAGAGCAAGAAACTTTCATTAATCGGCAGCTCCCCCAGTGGGGATCGAGTTGGCAACCTGTGCCCGTGCCCTGATAGGGAATTGGAGCATGATCTCCTGGTTCTTATGTTGACACTCAACCACTGAGCAATACTAGCCAGGCTAATGGGACTATTATGGAATATCTAAGTATCTTTTTTTTTTTTTTTTTTTTTTTTACTTAACTGTGATTTATATTAGATTTTGTGATTATGAATATTACAAATCAAATAATTTTTCCAAGGATGTAGTAAATGTACATTCTATTAAACTTTAGAAGGTTTATTCTCACTGTTTGAGTCAGTTGTGATCTACATTGCAAGCATACAAACTTAATGACTTCACTAGAAGTTAATAATATTTATTTGTAGTTGTTTAGAGTATATAGAATGGTTTCATGTCTTCTTGGGCAGTGCGGCCACCAGGGCAGGGTAATATTAGTTGCTCACTGTTTGTCAGTAGGTATAAATAACTACTTATCCTAGAAAAGCAGATTATTAGCTAGGGAAAGCTTAGGGAAGTTTGGTCTGGTTGTTGTTGAAGAAGTTGAACTGTTGCAATTTTCCATCTTGGGTAAGTTGAATATTAATAGTAAGGATTTTGTATCCCAATAAGAAATGTATTAATACACTTGTATATTGATTTATTTTAATCCTCACGGGATGATATGTTTTCATTGATTCCAGAGGCATAAAAAGGGAGAGAGAAAACGTCGATATGAGAGAGAAACGCTGCCTTCCTTATGTACCCCAACTGGAGATAGAGCCCACAACCTGGGTATGTGCCCTAACGGGGAATTGAACCCTCAACCCTTTGGTGTACTGGGCAAGACTTCAACCAACTGAGCCATAGAGGGCAGGGCTATTAGAACATTTTTAGATACTGTTCATTTATGTTTATGAAGCTTTTTGCAGGGATTGTAGTAAAAGCTGTGGAACCACTATCCTCCTCCTACATGGTAAACATCTGTCTGCACATACTTTGATTGTAGGTGGACAAGATTTGCCTGCAGTCATCATTTTTAGGATGTCGTAATCACACAGTTGATTATGACTATGCAGTTTCTTTCTGGAATTCTATTTCCATTAGATCTTTTTTTTTTTTTTTCTTCTTTTTTTGCTTCAGGCCTAAAATTATATGAACCCTTGATCATAATATCCCATTTTCAGTGGGCCTGGATCCCAAGTCCTTTTAGAAGTTTCTGCTTTCTGAATGGCCATGGTTTACCATTCACTCCTGACTGCCACCATAACCCTTGGCCTGCTGAGTCTGCCTCAACTCATTTAACCACTCTTTCTAGGAAATGGAATTAGTTTATATAGTGATTGGCTTTGACCTAGATTCACATTGGGTAGACCTAGATTCACATCCCGGCTCCGCAAATTACTTACCACATGGTCTGGAATAAGTCATTTGACTTCTGTGAGCCTCAGTTTCTGCATGTTTAAACTGGGATTATAGTACCTATCCATTCTTATGCAGTAAGATACCTATCTCTACTTCCCTATGATGTACATAATACATATTACATACTTACATGCAAGTATGTATGTTTATAAACAGTGTCTGAGTTATAAAAACGAGCTTACTAAATGTTAGCCGTTTGTCTTAGGTCCTGGAAATAGTCTCTGAGACAGGGATTGACGTGCGGGAGGCTTCCTGTGGCTGCTCTTGGCATCTTCACTAATGGCGGAGCGAGGGGAGCAGGGCAGGGGGAGGCGTTGGACTGTGATGCAGTGATGATGGAGCTCTGGTGCTGGATGGCCCTGCAGAGCTATCTAACCAGGCAGCATGGGGGCAGGGCCTTCAAACCTCCCCTCCCCCTCTGACTGGCTCTTTGGACCCGGTCATCCCCGGGGAAGAGGGTCTGGAGCGCCTCTGTGGAGAGGGGCTGAACTGAGAGCCTTTGGGTCCAAGAGAAGGAGAGCCTCTTCCTCCCCTAGCACTATGGGTCTCCTCACTTAGCGCCGTTCACCGGGAACACGGGCCTGGCGTGGTTCCCAGGACTCCATAGGCTCCAAGGGCCAGGTTGGGAGTTAGCAGCCGTCATAACATTGTTCCGATGGGAATATGTGTTCTGAATTCCATGTATCTGTTTACAAATAGGTGTTTAGAGCACCACCTATTCCCTACAGACAGTATTTGTGTTTTTGGCCTACCCAGGCCTATCTCTATTGAAAGGAAAATGAAGAGTGTTTGCTTTCTGTTCATTTTCTAATCAAGGAATATTTGTTGAGGGTGTAAAGTATGTAGCCACCATGGTGGACTTGGAAGACATTTTCTTGCCTTATCTGGAATTTATTTCTGTTGGAGCTTGAAAAATATCTGCTAATTTTAGATCTTGTCTTAGAAATCTACCTTTGTAATGGGCATTGGTAGAAAATATTGCCCAATTCATCAAAGATTCATCTTGTGTGCTTTGTTGATTGTAGTAAGAACTATTCTGTGCTTTGCTAATGGTGTTTTATGCACAGCCCTCACTCTTTCTCTCTTTACTTGTTGCAGGACCTGAGCTTAAATTCTAGATACTAAATCTTTGATGTTAGCTTTCCTTCAAGTCCAAGAATATATATTATCTGTGAAAAACTGAAAAACAGGATATAAAACTGGGAACTCTCTGCAGCTTAATCCTCCTCTGAGCAATTTAAAGGACTTGAGGGTACCAAAAGGAAAATTTTAGGGGAATA